AGCTATTAACAGAGCAGGAAATAAGAATTTCTAAATTAAACAGAATTTGCAAAAATGGTAGTGTAAACATTAGATGTCTCTTTTTAGGAAGTTTTTAGGAAGGCTGTTTAAGCCGCATGCAGGGAGGTTTGACTAGGTCAACATAAACAAACTGATTTAACTCCTAAATGGCAGAGGTTTGAGAAGTGAGACTGCAGAGGCATGATCTATACACCATAACTGCTTCATTAAGCTAAAGTTGTTTTGGTGACTATAGTGTCCATTTAAAGAATTGTTCCAAATCAGATATCTTAGCTTCAGTTGCCAATCTGAAAGTATTTCCACTATACAAACTATAAAAAAACATTCAATACACCAATGATAATAGTCTGGCAAACACTGTGATTATAGTCTAGCAAACACTAGGTAAAGTTTTTCATGCTTTACACCCGGATTATCCATTGACCATTTTTAATAAAACACTGATTCATGTATATCACCTATAACTTTAAAGTTATAGGTTCAAAGAAACTTTGAAGACAAATCAGTTCAATTTCTTCTCCATCTACTTTACATTGCTGACCGTATTCTCTATTAAAATCAAAAGGTACTCCCAAGTGATAAAAGGGAAAGTTTTAAGATGCCTGACAAATAGTAAATTCACTGATCTCTAAGTATTCCTGGGGCTCAGTTGTTGCCTACAGCCCCTCAACAAGTAACACTCTTTTAAATTAACGTTTGGTTTAAAGGAGAGCCGCTCGGGGGACATTCACTCCATAAATGGTCAATAAGACGACCCCAAATCAAAGTGCCCTTTTGTCCCCCACATGACCTCTTAAAATATTGGAAGATATGCTGTATCACCATGCTTTTATATGTGTTTTAAATACTTTCTAACTTGTTCTATGCCATGGCTCCAATAAGGCACCTCCTGTTCCTGAATGAATGATTACTTTGCACTGCACCCATCCTGTGACACCTACTAACACATTCCAAATTTTTCCTCTGGAAAAAAGGCAGCCCAGCGAGAAGCCTGTAGGATGTAACTCTGTGACACCCTACACTTTATTATAACAGATTTTTCATAGAATCTTCTGCTACCCACCTTCCAATGTTCTATATCAACGTTCCACTCTAAAAAAAAAAAATGTAATCATTGTTATCAATTGCAAACTGTAGAGACCATGACCCCTTTGACCCTATATCAGGAAGCCATGACTAAGAAGAATAAACATTATGTGGGCCTTTTCTAAAAATGACTGCAATATATCTCCCAATAACCATGATTTATTGCGTTACTTTACTGGGAGATGTTTAGCACTGCTGTTAAAATGTCAGTTGGATTTCCTGCAGACTGTGTCCAGCCCACTTCCCTCCTGTCCAAATTCTTCACCCTGAGCTCAAAGAAAGGCTTCAGAGTGGAAAATGGCTCTGGAATAGTGCTACCTGCCAGAATGTTTTTTTCAATATATTTATATAATTTTTCAGTGTATCGGAGCACCAATTAGTAACACACTGGTTGTTTATTGAAGAGTAACATTTAATGGAGTTTATTGCATCATCTCCCACTGTCCTGGTCTCCAGTAAAATGCAAGTGTTCTTGTTATAAAGACATATATTATATATAAATGGATAAATATGTCAGGTTTGTGATTTTTTTCCCATGTTTCTCAAATGACTTAATCTCTGCAGGTGCAAATGGTATTCCGGTTTTTATTGATGATATCCAAATTACAAGCCTGAAATCATATTTGCCAACAACTGGAAACTGTAAAACTGATATTCTTATTTTTAATATATAAATGGTTATCAAATGTTTAACGTTATAGGTGTTTTGCCAAGATTTTTGATCCATTTTTTTCATGGGCACGTCTTGAAATTGCCCTTGCCTAGACACATATATTTCTAAAAAAAAAACCCCATCTATTTATAACATTTATCTTTTTATAATGGTGCTACACAAACAAAAACACTAATAAAAATATTCCATACTATTTGAAATTTGTGGTCATGTATTTTAAAGTGTACCTAATCAATTTTTGCTTAGAGAATCCACATAAACATTTAAAATAGTCTGTAAGGGTAGGCAACCTTTGGCACTACAGATAATGTGGACTACATCTCTCCTGATGCTTTGCCAGCATTATTTGAGACCTAGTCCACAACATCTGGTGTAGGGCAATGTTGCATTCATGCTATGAGGAACTTCTGTTAGCTCTAAACCGTGTTGTGCTGGCCAGCTCATTGCCCAAGGACACTGATTACTCTTAGTCACTGGCCTAAGCTCTACACCAAGGGTGCCCATAAGATAGATACCCAGATGTTTTAAAACTACAGCTTCAATGATGCTTTGTAATTCTAAAAACATTCTAAAGGGTGAAAGCATTATGGGAGCTGTAGTTCTATAACATCTGGCGATCTACCTTTTGGGCACCCCTGCCCTACTCAGTCAGTCTTAGCTCAATGCAGAAAACTTGTGGTTCTCATAGAGGAGATAACTGGCACCCACCGGACTCAGGCTGTATTTGCCAGATATTTATTGGCCATCTATATTTTTGGAACCAAACCTGATGACATTCCTATGACTTTGGTGCATGTGATTCTGTATTTAGACACTATTAAAATCTAAATAGGTTTACCCTTAAAAGTACAATATAGTCAGCAGAACCACTACAGCTTAATGTAGTGGTTCTGGTGTCTAAAGTATGTCCCTGCACTGTTAGCATTGTAAATACTGTCTTTACAGAGAAAGGGCAATGTTTACATTGTTGGTTGCCTAGTAACACCTCTAGTGGCATACACTCAGATGGCCACCAGAGGTGCTTCCTAGTCCAGTGCTGTTGTCATTGATTCAATGAATCTCTATGAGGAGATGCTGATTGGCACAGAACAGTGTTTGTTGGTTATGTAGAAACCATGTCAAGGACGTGATTTATCTTGGGAAACATACATAGACACAAGTAGACCAACAAATGCCAAAAAGGTCACGCAAACTAATACATTTTTTTGTCCATTTATGGTGTCTTCATTAATACGGTTTTAACTTAAAGGCTTATGTCTAGTGTCTCCCTAAGTCAAAAGGGTAATCCAGATGTGGAGCCCTTGCTCACAGTTCACTAATCGGGTTTACCATTATCTGTAACTGACCTTGGTTTGTCTATTGACCATGATTTCTCTCTTTTACAAGTTAAGCATGGATTCTCTAAGGTCCAGTAATAGGTATATTTTTATTTCCTCTGTTAGTGCATATACTCACCTTGACAACTGTGCCTAGAGGGGTATCAGCTACACCTCACTGATGAGACCTAATGGAAAGTGAAACAATCTTCTAGGATTGCTATATTTTTTGGGAGAGGGGACCTGCTGGCATTTCAGAGTTAGCTGCCCTAGTGGTGGTCTCAATCTTCTATACAAACTGGACAAGTTTCCACACGTGAGCTAAAACATGTATAGGACCAAATTGGGGAGTAAATGAAGTGTAAGATGTCATATTTTTGTCTGTTCTCGGTGTTCGCATTCATTTTATTTGGCCTAGTTTACTGAGGGGAAAAAAAAAAGTTGCTCAAAAACACACTTTATATTGTCTTCATACATATCACCTTTTATAGGACAAGGAACCAACTGCAACTACAATTTCTTCTCTTATTTTTTATCTATATTTTAGACATTATATTTGTTTTATTGAACAAATCTCTTCTATGATTTTGTTTTGAAATACACTCATCATTTAAGCATTTAAAAATCATATAAAATAACTCCCAACCTTTTAAAATGGACAAAGGAAGATACTTTAATTTTAGGGGTGTGAGTGGGGATGTTGTCAGGGGTGGGGCTGTACTGAGAAATGTTAGGTGACTTACTAATAAGTTATGCAACTAAAATATAATTTAGAACAAAAGTATCTTATTTACACAGACCGATGCCTAAACACATTTATTGTAGTTTTATTTATTATTGCTGTGCAGCTATATAATATTTAATTATTCAGACACACCAACATAGAGCTCATAAAAGAGAGGGGCATTAGGATTTGGGCCGTAAATAGGGACTGTCCCTCCTAAAGGACACTTGGGAAGCATATATATATATATATATATATATATATATTATACACACACACGTCCCTAGGAGGTGGGAGGGAGGGTCTGCTGCTGATTGGCTGGAATGTGTCTGCTGATTGTGAGGTACAGGGTCAAAGTTTACTCAATGATGACGAATAGGGGGCGGACCGGACAGCGCATATGTTCGCTGTCCGTGGCGAATCGTTCGGGACATCACACACACTGAACTCACCATGGTGTTGCTAGCTGGTATATATTTCTCCCTTTTTATATTTTTTAACTTTATTTATATATAATCATGAATAAACACAAAATGATCACTAAAGCAGAAACAGAGGGCCAATAGCATGCTGTGAGTGTTCTAAGCACTAGAGACAGGTAATAAACATGTTAAACAGCGTAGTAAAACTTTTTTTAAAAACTGCTGAGCAATTTTTTTTTTTAAATGGATACTTTGTTTTTTTATGCTCTATGATTAATGTGCAAATGTTTTCCAGTGACATTTGTGCTTTAAACAATTCTTTAAAAAAGGTATGTAATCAGCATATTTCCTACTTGCTTCATCCGGCAGACCTGAGTGCTTTTCTCTGTGTGCTTCCCTTGTTTAAATGTAAAATAAAACAGAGCACAGTCCAGGAATTATTTTTGGAATTCCCCTGAATTTTAAGTGCATGCATGTGTTGGGGGGGAGAGCTAGAAACATGTCAGATTCTTTTTAATACTGAAGACTCACTGATGTTAACCACTAACCCCTCCTTTCTGTCCTTTTATATAACAAAAATATTAAACTAAAAATAAATGTATGTGCAAGTGTCTTTCAGATAAATCCTGCAGAATTGACTGCCCCAGACTTTATCAGACAGCTATAAAAAATAATGTAGGGATTTATTCACTAAACACATGACTGCTGACCCTGACCCAAACCCCCCCACCCCCCTTTGCCCAATAAATACACAACACCTTCTGTATGGGTAAGGGCAACGGCCACAGCTTTATTAATTGATTATCAACAGATTATCGCCAGCGTCCACAACCTGTCAGCTGTTGGGGGATTACCAACAGACAGCTCTATCAAAATGACCCACGAGTCTGGAGCAGCCTGCCCCCGCCATCAGCTCTCAGCAGGCTGCGACTCCCCAAGCCGCTTGGGCACTTCCTTCCAATCCTCTTCGCTAGCCAGGACTACCGCGAGCTGTGACAAAACAGAGAAAACAACAGCACACAACCAACAGCAACACCATCGTAAACATGTTTGGGTGGGCAGGCGGGAAGCTAGCAACACTACACCTCTGCCCGGGAACTGTTGAGTACCCTCCCCTTTTCTCCCCTCTTAACGTACCCCAAGTGCCACGAGTCCGGCCTGGACACTATGTCCGACCAAATAAGGGTCAAATCGGGGAAGAGGGCCATACAACACCCCAAATCATACATAATGGCATGCAGGAGGTCCACTGACCTTCTGCGCCCTAGGTCATTACCCCCCCCCCCCACATGAATAACCAGAGTCACTGGCCCCGACACGTCCAAGGATCCGGCACCAGGGGACTCCAGGTATGCCTGTAACAAGGCTACCACAGCTTCTCTGGACACCGATGCCATTTTTCAGATCCCAGCTAAGTATTCCTTGAAGATGTGAAACTGGAGAAATGGCTAATTGAGCAAAATTATTTAGTTTACTGCAGAATATAATATTATTGCTTGTATTTTATTACAGTCCCTGGGGGAAGCTAGCAACACTACACCTCTGCCCGGGAACTGGTGAGTACCCTCCCCCTTTTCCCCTTCTTAACGTACCCCAAGTGCCACAATGTATCCCCTTATCCCTGCCAGCAGTCATGTCCTCCCTTCCTTATATTTCCAGGGAGGTACTGTATTGTAGTGAAGTAAAAAAAATTAAACTGCAAAACTTAAAGGACCACTATAGTCCCAGGAAAACAAATTTGTTTTCCTGGCACTATAGTGTTAATAGGTCCCCCCGACCCTCATGGCCCTCCTCCTGCCGGGCTCTAGGGGGAGGAAGGGGTTAAAATCTTACCTTTCTTTAGCGCCGGGCTCCCTCGGCGCTAGGGACTCTCCAACGTCATCGACTGAATGCACATGCACGGCAAGAGCTGCGCGTGCATTCAGTCAGTCCATAGGAAAGCATTCTCAATGCTTTCCTATGGATGCTGGCGTCATCTCACTGTGAAAATCACAGTGAGAAGTGCAGAAGCGCCTCTAGCGGCTGTCAATGAGACAGCCACTCGAGGCTGGATTAACTCATATGTAAACATAGCAGTTTCTCTGAAACTGCTATGTTTACAGCAGGCAGGGTTAACTCTAGATGGACCTGGCACCTAGACCACTTCATTGAGGTGAAGTGGTCCTGGTGCCTATAGTGGTCCTTTAAAGGGAAACAAATTTGTTTTCCTGGCACTATCGCTCCCTATAGTGCTCCCCCTGGTGGTGCAGTAGGGGTTGAAATCCCTTCTATCACTTAGCTTGTTTCAGTGCCAATGCCCCTTAGCGCTGGCTTGGAGTCCACCTTCGCCGACGTCAGGAGGGGGGAGAGCTAATGCACGGCAATGGCTGCACTCAAATTATAACAGCCCCATAGGAAAGCACTGTACAGGATGGCCCATAAGTCCCTACCCATCCATATATCCAGTGTATCTGTGTACTGGATGGGTAGGGACTTATGGGCTACCCTGTACAATGCTTTCCTATGTTGTTTCAGGTGACGCTGGATGTCATCATTCATTGCATGAGGATGTCCAGCGTCAGTTAGGCAACCAAAAGTCTAACGACCAGGAAGTCCCTCTTGTTGCTGTATGGTAGACAGCCACTAGAGGTGGAGTTAACCCATAAAGATTATTATTGCAGTTAATTAAAAACAACAATAATTAACTTTCCAGGGTTAAAGGACCTGGGAATATGTACCCAGACTACTTCAATCAGTTGAAGTGGTCTGGGTGCCTATAGCGTCCCACATTGTGACTATGCTTGCGTTAAGATGTTTTTCTGAATAAACTATTTTGCCAACATTTTACAATTCTGTTTTGAATTCATTATGTATCGGTATTTAATGAATAAACCTTAGAATGTTTGCATGCACGGTACGAGTGGTTTCCTTTAACTATTTGGAAGCATGGCTTATAAAGCATCATAAACTAGCACAAATGTGGGTCTGGTGTGCTCAACACGTTTTAAATACCTTTTGAACTGAAGAAATTGCAGAAGGACTATTTACTAAAGTGAATTACCAACTTTATTGGAAAATTATTTGAGTCAACTTTCCTACCAGTTCAGATCCCTTTGGTCTTTCATTTGAAATGCACTTTCAATTCCTTTTGAATTCCTAACAATTGTCAAATTATTGAATACCCCTGTGATTGTCTAAACTAGCGGAGCCACTTCCTGGCTGCTGTAAAGGTCCTTTGAATCATGGGAAATTCTTGGGGATTTCTTCCAGAATGTTCAAATTTTTTATTTATTTCTAAAATATTATTTGTTTAAAGCGTTCAAACATCACTTATATTATAGTATCTCTTTACTCCACGATAATAACTAAATGTCCCCTAATGTGTTTGAATGAAATTTGTGAAATCACATTAATTCAGACTTCTGAAGGGACATCTTTTTTTATATTCTGTGTCATTAAAATTTACACACACAACCCCAAAAAACCTTATATAAACATTTAACTTTTACAGTTGCTAAGTACTTGGGTTTACTGTCAAACCTGTCCTTTTCCTAATCGGTCTCCAGACATTATTTGAATGTGTGTAACACAATTATTTAGATAATGTGTCAAAGCGTCTTTTCAACAAGATTTAAAGGTAAACTCCAATGGATCTTTTATTGTGTGAAAATATTAAGAGAAATATTTCGTCCCATTAATCACTCTAAAAGCTCATATCCATCTGGAACTTTTCCACTGTCTGAGCAGAATAAGCTGCTTTCTACCTGCTGGGATATAATGTAAACTTTGTAAGTCTCGTGGTTTACCAAGGATTAGAATAAAATGTTTTAGTCAGTGAGTCTCAAATTCTGTATTAAAAAATATGTAAGAATAACTGGATGTGCAGAAGTCAATTATAAGCACATGTTTTCTATACACCTGTGCGCAAGCAGTGAAATCCTTAACGCATTCTATCCAACAGTGTATAATGAAACTAATTTTAATCTTGCATTTTGGTACAGGGCTGGTATTCATCTTGCATTGAAGCAAATGTCCCCGCTAAAGCTACATTCCATCCCTGAGCACCAGTGCACAGATATTATAAATGGTAGGCCCCTTATCTGCACCATCTACAACAGCAAATCTTAAAATGTATGCAATAAATAGGTAGGAATGACTCCACCCTGACCAAGAAGCGGCTTATAATTGTCTATGGAGTATAACCCATAAACCCCTTTCCATCTGCTTTATAAGATGTTAGCTGCCATTGGTTTATGCGCAGTCTGCTTCTCAGGTATGAATGCGCATATGCACAATCTCAACAGGAGGTCTCTTCACAAGGGGAGCAAGGTCTGTCCTAATAGTGCAGGTGGCATATGCAGTGGTGTATCCTGGTTTTGTGCTGCCCTAGGCAGGACAAACTCAGGGGCCCCCCCAACCCCGCGCCACCCCCACCCAACCC